TTTTAGTGTTTTCCATGGGATATTCCTTCACAAGATGGGTATACCCTATAATTAATTATTATAGGAATTTATATGTGGTTTTCACTATTATAGGATAGGTAGATGACAATTTATATGTGCTTTTGACATTATACCTATTATGAAAGTAGAATTTACATGTGTAAAGGAATCCATACTCAATAAATGTCTCACTTTGTGAATAATTGAGTCTTTCTAACCATTTTAAGTATGTTTAATTAATAACACATAGGAACTATATTCATATGTTCTTCATGGAAGATCAATTTCTCAACTAATTTAAATGAAGATTGATAAAGGTTCGAGTAGTATTAATTTTTTGTCATTGTGGTAGTACAAGAAGAATATTTAAAAATACTGCCAGCAAATAACGTTTGATACCCATAATTACATTTGTGACACAACCCCACTTTTAAATTGACCCATAGACAAATCAAAGGATATCAAATTTTAACCAAGTCTGTTTTTGCTTTTCTAGCATAATTTAGATCCTATCAAAGCTTGGTTCTTGAGATTACATCGAAACTTTATCTTGTATGGATGCTAGATGTATTTATTAGTATTCACAATTAAGTCCAGTCTACTTTTTCAAAGTTTTTTTCCATGTATGTTCAAACACAATTATAAACCAAAAGTTGTTTGCAGTTCTATAAAGGATTTCATTCAATGAATCAAACTCCCACAAAACCAATTGTTCCTCAAACACTAGTTACTCTAACTCCAGCTTAAATTCAAGTCACTCTAGCTGAAGTGCCAACCTCCCCCAATGATTCTCCATCACGTGAGATTCCTCAATTTTGACTAGGGCCTCAATTTTGACTAGGATCAGAAAGAGCACAAAAGCAAATGTTTTTACAACTATCTCACACTAGAATGGCTCATTTTCATTTCCTTTTATCTCTGAAGGAAGATTGAGATGAATTGTTGTTTCCATCTAAGAAAGTTATAATTGATGTTTTGGTGGACAATGGTTTGATGAGGAGAAAATAAATCATTAACCCACTTTGAGCTTTTGGCATTCCAACAGAATCTGTACCACATATCAGAAACCTATCACCATCCAAGGTTTGAAGCATGTTTTCCAATGTAAGTTGGTAAAGCAAAAGTGTGCTATTTACCAGCCTCTTTTTGCGTATCTCAGTTGGAGTGGGACATGTTGTAGCGCTTGGCATGAATGTCAAGAACTCCTTTCAGATGAGCTGATTGATATAATTCTTGGCAAGGCAGCACTGCAAGTGTTGGTTTTTAAGCTCATTGGGAAGAGACACCCTAACACAATGGTCTGTCCTTGGCACACACAGCTCTGGAATTCCTGGAGTGAAGACATATCCTTTTGTCCATATGAGCCTCCTAGATTTTTGTATGCCGTGGAAACAATAAAAACTTTGGGTTACAAACACAAGAGCTGTCATGGACAGCCAGCAAGAAGATCTTCTGCGAGATGATTACTGTCGCTGCAGGTATACATGTTTACAAGTACTCATTGGAGAGAAGATTGTGTTGGGAGTTTTGTTGTTTTGGCATCAAGGAGATAAGAAAAACTTGTCATGCTTCTGCCATTGTAGTAGATAGCATTGCCTCTGTCCTAAAAAGGCTATAGAGGCAGAAATTGGACATTAAATACTCCGTGGTGGTGGCCATAAATAGGAAAAAAATTATATGCCAACTTTTATGATTTTGTTGGACATTCTAATTACAATTACAAGATCAATTATTTTTTTACATGGTTCATATGCTAGTTTGGAATCCCCGTGGTGCCCTCTGGCACTACCAACTTTCTAGCCGTTGACGAGATGAACTTGCTCAAGATCACCATACTTTAAAAAGGTTATGTTTTAGGCTATATTGAAGAAACACAAAAAAAAAACAGGAAAAAAAAAATGACTCGGCCTTGTTTGCTAGATCCTGCTTGGCCAGTGCCACACGCTCATGAAAGGAATGGGGCCGCCATCGTGTGGATGTGGCAGCATAGTCATAGCGCTGCCAATGCGGCACTGGCACCTTAGCATTGCTACGGGATTGGTGCAGGTTCTCAAGAAAAAAGTGAAGCTGTAGTGCAAGTCCCATGGCACTAGCCAGTGCCATGGCTGAGCAGGATTGCCATCCTTATCGCTCCAAAGCTCGACACCAGGTTTGCGTGGTGAACACATTCAAGGATACGTCCTCGGCCTGGAACTACAAACTGGACTGGTCGGTGGACATTGATAACAGAGAAGTCCCATGACCATGCCCCCACCATGCTGTTGCCATGGCTGAGCAGAGAAGAAGTGCCATGGTCAAAGAATGGGGCTTTGCTAAGATAACTAAGATTTGAGCCTCAATTGAAAACTAGATTGTGTATCAGTTTTTTAATAGTGCTCTAGATAATCATATTGTCATGTACAACAAAAACTATATTGAGTTTCAAAATGTTTGAAGAAATCATTATATAGTGTATTAGATAGTGTAAACCATATGATTATTTATATGGTTATTTACATTAAAAACCATATTGTATTTCAGTACATGTAGTACACATGAAAACCAGATTGTGTTCTGGTTTTAAAATTATACTTGAGAGAATCACATGTTATCTACATTGAAAACCATAGTGTTCTAGTTTTATATTACATATATAATACACCACAACGTTATGTATGTTGAAATATAGATTAACTCCATTTTCAGAATAATACTTGAGAAAACTATATGTTATTTATAGTAAAAAACACATAGAATAAAAAGTCATTATATAATGAAAACCATATTGTGGGGGTCAAGTTTTTCATTTACCCTCTCAATGAGGAAAATATTAGGAGCAATATAGATTTGTCTATCAAGTGTGCAATAATTGATGTTGAAGGTGTAGCTCTTTTAGTTTATATTGACACTGCTCTTCCTTCTGCAACACTGCAACTCTTCCTCCTCGATGCTAGACTCCCCACTGGAAGATGAACATTCCATGCAAGAGAGTGATTCATCATAGCCACTAGGTAGCAATTAGCTGGCCAACTGATGCAATTATCTTGCAAGCTAAGCCAAAATAAGTAGAAGTTCCTGTATGACCCTTACTTTCGACCCCAGTGAAGCTTGGTGCAATTGAAAAAGCCTTGCACTTAAACAAGGCAGTAGTCATGTAGTCCAACGTTGTCGGCCATGCTTCCCACTACAAAGGCCAAATTATATATTGAGGGGTAATTTAAATTAGTCTAAAGAAGGTGGTAGGTTTGGAATGATGGAAAGTTTGTGGAAACGTGGAATTGGACAGCCAATTGTGCCGTGGGCTTGGCATCCTTCACAGGGAATGTCAAGAACTCTTCTCGGACGAGCTGATTGATGATATTCTTGCCAAGGCAGCACCATTGAAAGCTTTAGTTTTCCACAAACTCAGCGGGGTCCGAAGGCTTCTTGACGAAGGTTTTGCATACACGGCTCTGGAATTTCTGGACGAAACATGTGAAGAGGAGACTTTCAGGAGAGCGCTTGCATATCCTTTTGCCTCCCAAGTTCTTGTACGCCATGGACACAATGAAAGCTCTGGGTTACAAACGCGAGATTGGGGTGTTTGAGAAGATGCTGCTGTGAACAGCCAGCGAGGAGATCTTCCGCAAGATTGTCGAGGAGCATCCGAATGCCGCTGCAAAGCGACATGTTTACGAACACGTATTGGAAAGAAGTTCGTGTTGGGAGTTTATGGGTTTGGAGGCAAAAGCCAAGGGGGTTAAAATACAGGCCAAATATGTTTTCTCAGGAATGAGATATGATAAGGCTCTCAGTTTAGCACTTGAGATATGTGATGAAGGACAAGCTTACCAGGCTGCATTGGATTGTACTATAGGCCCCGAGAGCATTGTATCTGTCCTGAAACAAGCTGTAGAGGCAGGGGTGGCAGTGAACCCAACTTCACACCTTATCCACCACCTTGACAAGGGGATGCCATGAAGAGAAACCTGATCAAATTGGACGATAAAAAATTAGCCGAAGCTTCTCTAGAGAGTATATACACTGAGCCAGTCGAAAAAGATACTGTTATATCCCTGTTTGAGCTAGCAACCAGAAATTTGTACCAGCCGTTCCCTAAAGTCGTCAAGCAGATGCTGATAACTCACTGGAAGGATGAATGGCTCTTGTTTGAGGCATTTTGCAACTTATTGGATCCTGACAAAAGAACATGTCGTGAAATGTATAAGATGCTCATGATGAAACGGGAAGCTAGTTATATATCAGAAACATATTTTTATTAATTAGATTAAAATTAAAGCTAAGAATTAAAAATAAAAAACTGTAATAAAAATTAAATTAAAAAGTAATTAAAGTTTCAAAAAAGCCCTAATAGTAGGCCCTGTTTTCTAGGGCTCTTGAATGGTAGGGTTTTTGGAGGGGGGAGGGAATGGCGGATGGGATCGCCAAGCGCGCGCGGCCGGCGTGGCTCCAGCAGTACGAGCTCCTGGGGAAGATCGGGGAGGGCACTTACGGCCTCGTCTACCTGGCCAAGAGTAAGCTCGTGTCGAATCGAGGCGTGAAGATCGCGATTAAGAAGTTTAAGCAGTCCAAGGAGGGCGATGGCGTCTCCCCGACCGCGATTAGGGAGATTATGGTCAGTGGATTGTGGGAAATGGCGGCATTCTCGCTTAAAGTTTGGATTTTTTTTTTTTTTTGCGCAGCTGCTAAGGGAATGTATGCACGAGAATGTCGTCAAACTCGTCGATGTGCACATCAATCACGCGGATATGTCTTTGTATTTGGCATTTGAGTATGCCGAGCACGATCTTTATGTAAGTTTTCGAGCACTCCTTGACTCTTCCTCTCTTCATCTGTTTTTCTTTTCTTTCTTCTTGACAGGAAATTATTCGTCACCACCGTGAGAAGCTACTTTTCCAGATCAATCCCTACACCGTCAAGTCTTTGCTGTGGCAAATTTTGAATGGAATCAATTACCTTCATAGGTTCGTGAAGTTTTCTACTAGCTAAATCCGAAGCTCACTTACGTGCTGGCAGTAACTGGATTATTCATCGAGATCTCAAACCATCAAACATATTAGTGAGTCTATAATTTCGTTCCGCTCGCTTGACTTGAGTATTCATTGGGATCGTCAGGTTATGGGAGTGTCGGGGGACGGTGACGAGCAAGGACTTGTCAAAATTGGTGATTTTGGACTCGCAAGAATTTATCAGGCGCCATTGAAGCCTTTATCTGACAATGGGGTGAGTATTAACTTCTCCTCTTTGCATTTTGTTTCATGAAGTTTTCTTTCACTTTGTAGGTCGTTGTTACGATATGGTACAGGGCACCCGAGCTTCTTCTCGGAGCTAAACACTACACCTGTGCTGTCGGTATCCTTTCTAAGATCGTTTTGTTATATCACGCCGTATGCGTTCCTTAATCATATATCTCACTAGATATGTGGGCAGTAGGATGTATTTTTGCGGAGCTTTTGACCTTGAAGCCTCTCTTCCAGGGTGCAGAGGATAAAACAGGCCCAAATCCGTTTCAGGTACTATCCGCCACCTGTTTGATTCACCAACTGTGTGTTTTCCTTTACTTCAGCTGGACCAACTTGACAAAATTTTCAAAGTCTTAGGTGATGGTTGGTGTTGTTTGAGCTTAAGTTTCTAATGGAGAGAGTCCGATGTGCAGGTCATCCGACAACAGAAAGATGGCCGATGCTTTCCAATTTGCCGCATTGGTTAGCTAACCGTCAGCTAATCCAGAGTCGAAAGTAGTAAGTGTCGTTACTTTCACCTGCGCGTTATGCCACCTTTTCTGGTCTGTCCCTACAGCGATAATCCTGGTTTGCACACCGTCGTCAATCTCCAACCGAAGGGCCTAGCATTCGACTTGCTATCACGAATGCTCGAGTAAACTCTCTGTATACAAGCGTACTTGCTGTCTAACCTTCTCGAGACGTGCAGGTATGACCCAGTAAAGCGTATAACTGCAGCACAAGCGCTGGATCACGAGTACGATCTGTAGTTTGTAGTGGATGTACGCACCCTGACCTCTGCTTGTGTTTTCCTTTTTTTTTTTTCTGTACAGATATTTCCGAAGCGATCCCCTCCCTGGTCGAAAGTAAGTGCGTCGTTTTCTCATCAGAACCATTTGTTTGCTTTATCTTTCGTGAGGGGTCATCTAACCATGCGCAATTTTGGAAGGTAGTGCACTTGTCTATGGCCAACCCGGCGAGAAAGTTGTGCAGTACCCTGCGCGTCCCGTGGATAGCTCCACGGATTTCGAAGGCAGTGGCTCCATCCAAAACACCCAGATGGTACGAGACAGGAAAAGAAAACAAGCCTTTTTTTCCCCTCTGCAGTGTGGTGGTGGCAGCAGCTTTCTGATGGTTTCCACATTTCGTGGCTCTCAGATGTCGACCTCCAACTCGCTCCCCGCGTCAGCAGCATCAGCTGCCGCAGCTAGTGCGACTGCAAATGCGGTTCGTCCCATGCACCACCAGCAGATGCCCTTGGTCGGAATGCAGAGGCTACAAACTGCGAGCATGGGAGCTTTCAACGTGGGCGCTCAGCCAGCCATGGCCGGCCTCGCCGCGAATATGTTCGTCCAGAGAGGCCAGCAGCTCCAGCAGGTTGCTCATCACCAACAACAGCAGCAGCAGCAGCAGCAGCATCAACACCATCAACACCAGCAACACCAGGTACAAAAACTTCGTTCTTTCTTTCGCTCTTAGCAGAGCACATAGCATCACCTCGGTAGAACAGTACGTTATAAACTTTCTTGCTGGTTTTATTTCTCCAGGGAAGGAGGAGAGACGCGATGCAAAACCCGAATTATCAACCTCCCATGAAGTCGCGACGAATGTAGCCAAGCAAGCAGCAGCGCATTCGTTTTTGTCCCAGAAAGAATTTTCACCCGCTGGACAGACTTTTATCCGCTGGTAAGAACAAAATCCATTTTTTCTTCTTTTGTAACCGTCACAAATGAAATATCCAAAGAATATCCAGATTTAAAGATTCGGGGGATCTTTCCTGCCCTTCAGGGTGACGGCCGTGGCAGCCCGTCATTCGGTTTGAAGAGGAGAAGGGCGCGTGTGCTGGTTCTTGGCGAGCACGAGCAAGCAGGCAGGCAAGCAAGCAAAAGCACGTCTTTTCCAGTGGAAGCAAGTACAGCACGCTTGCTTGCTTCGTTTTTCTTCTTTCCTTCTTCTTCTTGTGGGGTCTCTCCTATCACCAAAAAAGAAAGCAAACCAGGAGAAGAGATTAAAGAACCATAAAAAAAAAGAAAGAAAACTCTTGATCTTGATCTCGATCTTGACTAGAATGTCTAGCAGCACCAGACCATCCTCCCGGATCATCGATCTCCGCAGCCCGGATTTCCTGCAGATCTGCCTCGCGCCGCGGCGAAGAACAGGCCACCACCTTAGCCTCAGCCAGCGCGAGGAAAGAAAGTCCAGCTTCACCAAGGCGAGCTGGATCAAGAAGGACAAGTGCAAGGTGACGCTCCCCAAGTTCAAGGCCAGCGTCATCCACACCGGCATTGTCGACAAGCTCAAGGGAGCGTGGAGCAAAGTCAAGCTCATGGTGGCGGCGCCAAACTCGGCCACATCTGTCTCCAAAAGAAGCAGCACGATCAGAAAGAAGAGCGCGGCAAGAAACAGCAACAGCGGTACAAACCTCCGGCAGGAGCACGAGAGAGATGGAGCCGCCTTGTCGTTTGCTCGCCTCGACTCCTCCTCCTCCTCGTCTTACTCGCAAGATGCTGTCGCGGAATGCATCGAGTTTATCAAGCAGTCGGCCGCGGCGTGAGCGGATTCTTCGCAGGCCACCACCTGGCTTTGAAAACTTGACAGCTTTTTTCCTGGACGAGATTAGGAAAACACCAAGCATGACTACTTACGGTGATTGTGTTTCGCTGCCTCAACTTACTCTTCTTGTCTTTCAAAATTTGGTGCTGGATCAACTTACTTGTTCAGAACCAGCCAAAAGAGTCACTGTAAATTATTTGTTCGCTCTTTCTTCTTTTCACCATAGCTTAACTAAAGCTCTCTCTTTCCTGCCTGTACCTTTAAAGAAACCTTTTCCCTGGATCCCTGTATGTAAGCTAGCCTACAAAATTATGTATTGCCCCTGTGTCCTGTCTGTTCTCTTCTTTCCCAAGTGAGATAATATTTCCTCCATAAATTTTATAGCCCCTCGTTTCCTCCCCCTGTGGCGTGTCTGTCCTCGACCTGTTATCACCCCTAGCACCGCCGGATAAATCTCTCCTTCACTTTGCTTGGCCTTGTCGTGCAGTATAGTGACGAACGAGTGAGACGATCCTTCCCTCTTTTTTGCTTTTCTTTTCTTCTGTACAAGGCTCTTCTCCGCCGTTTCCTATAGTGAACTGAACCTTCACACTCTTCTGCTGGGCTACTTAGCGCTGGACTGGCCTTCTGGTGTTTCCAGAACCTGCCTTGAGATGGTTACCAGGCCGATCTTGAGGAACATCTTGCATGTCCATCACTTGCACAGTTCTTTGCCTCTTTACTGCAGACATAATCGCTGTCAGCTTTCCACTACCTCTCGTCCGAAATAAATCCTACCATTTGCAGCTTGTTGATACTGGTCATGAATTAATCTCTTCGTAGTTTCTAGCTTTTGCTTCTCTGTCAGGGAGCCGCTCTCTTGAAAAGACGGTCTCTGCAGAAATTGAAGAGTGAGCTTTTCCCGACTGCGAAATAATTGAAGGAAACCTCTTGAGACTTACACTCGGCTTTGTTGTCGGTGGTTTCCTTGCACTTGCAGAACTGGGGGCTGCAACCGGGGCTCTTCCCGTCCTTGTTCTATCATCATCCATCCATTTGCCACTGGGTTGGAATGACGGTCCATTTAGCATCTTACTATGCTCCGACGGTGGATAACTAATCCGATGAGACTTGTGGTGGTCCTCCCGGTCATCAGAGGGCGAACATCCAACTGCAGCCACTCGCAGCTTCAAAGTTAGCTCGAGAAAGAAAGAAAAAACGTGAGAGATTGGGAGACTTACACATACTATCCTCTCCTCCGTTGTCAAGCATTTGTAAAGGGGGTGGCTGAGTAACGCTCGACACGGAACTGCTTAACAGGTCCACTCTGTGTGGTAACCGTTCTTCAATCACTTCCACCTCATTGACTGCCTCGTTGGGAAGAGCTAGTTCGTCTGCATCGGCCGCGTCCGCTGTCTTGGCCCATTCATCAACGACGTCCTTCCACAGCCTAGCACAAAGTGTTAAAAAAGGAAGGAAGCTAAGAAACAATGAAGCTCTTCTCTCTGTGGAGGTCACGGGCTTACTTTACAAGTTTCTTGCAACCGGCCTTGACGCGGCTCGACTTGTGGTGCTTACGCAATTTATTGACAATCATCCCAATTCCAGTCACCTATGAACCACAAAAAAAGAAAAAAAAAACCCGATTTAAGGATTTCTAGAAAGACCGATGAATTCGCACCCACCTTTAAGGCTTGGACAGAGATCTGGAGCTGTTCTAATCTCTCAATTGGCTTCAAAAGCTTCTCCGCTGGCTGGAATGGAAGAATCACATCATACAAGTGGAACAAGTGGACATAAATTCCAAGGAAAAAGCAAACCTCGTTTTGATCCCTCTCGAGCGTCTGCCCAATACTTAGAACTTCACGCCTCACGGCCTCTTCTTCGTCGTCATCTGCTGGAGCGAGGTTCCGGGCATCGGCATTCTCCTCTTCCTCGCCCTGATCGTCATCGTGATCACGATCGAGGCTGTCCTTCCTGTCCGATCCTCCAGCCAGTAGCAATGGAGCTCCACCGCCACAATTGGTCGCCACCAGTGGGTAGTTTGACGGCGCAAACAGCTTTTCGGCAAAGCCATCCCTCCTCATTCGCAACTCCTTGGGGTAATTCACGGCCGCAATGGTGAGCGCCCAGTCGATGACACTCCAGAGATCTTCCCCGGAGTTCTCAAAGAAGAGGCGCCATCGTTCCATCTCCCGGGACATCATTCTCCAATCAGGCCGCCAAAACCCTAAGCGACGATCTCCTCTTTCCTAACTCTATATCCTTTGGCAGCGCTAGAAAATCCTCACATGCACCTCGACCCTGACGCGATCCCAGCTGCTATCGCCCGATCGACCCGAAATTTCACGGACTCGGCCCCCGATCGATCAAAGAACAGAGCATTGGATCGAGATTGAGGGGGAGAAGCAAGAGATTGCACGAAATATCGCGGATTATCGCGGAAGATCTCGCGTCGGGAGCTCGACCGCCATAGCCAAGAGCTCCGCCTATAGCCGCTCTATCGAAGATCAAAAGACCAAAGGTAAGAAAAGGGGAAGGGAAGAAGTCCCGTAAGTCTCTCAAGTAACGCCGGGTAACAAAGATTTTCTTTCTTACCACTTTACATTTACACCCACCTGCTTCCGTATACTGTACAGGGGAGGGGGCGAATCCACCAGGCGGTAATAAACCATTTTTCACTGCGACCCCCTCGCCCGCGTGCTCGTCTTTTACCGTCGTAATTAGCGAAACTCCTGGAAGATGACATCAGTTACACTGCCACCGTTGGATTCAATTTGGAGGCGACGGTCTCGATGTGCTGTCATTTGTCGGAATATACAAGCTTATCCAATGGTTGTTAGAAATGACACTTGGCTCGTCTGTAGTGGCGAGGATTTAGGGCGCTCAAAACCGACACGTGTCCTGCAAGACGAATATTCGCCTCGTTTAAAAAGGGCCAGAGCTCTCTCCATCATGGACAGACAGGTGGGGGAGGAAAGACGAAGAAGATTTTATATTATTCATCACACTCTTTTTTCGCGAGTGGAGCGATTTTAAGTGAAGTATGAAAGAGAAGCAGATCGAATCGATCACAAAGCTTTAAGAGAGTCGTCCAACAAGAGGCTCTCTCCTTTGATTTGCTTGGGCTCTCTTTCCAGAGCCGAGCAGTGGTAGTACGCTTCTACTTCTCGCTTTTTTTACTTCCTTGCTTGCAAGCTTGCGAAGATTTGCTGGCTACTCCACTCGATGAAGAAAAGCGTTCTCTTCTTTTTAAGCCTGACCTTCTTTGACATGAGTTTTCTTCGAAATCTTCTCGTCAACATCTTCCTTGTCACTGGAAAGTGGTACTCTCTTGGCCTGCAAGTTGCCATCGTACGTAAGTTTTTGCCTCTTTTCTCACATCAATCAATCACACGGGAAGTGTCAAAAACCCGTACCAGTTCACGGAACTTCAGGATGTAGAACATCTCCAGGTAGCGTCGAGTCTCTCGTCTCTCCAGTTTCGACACATACTTCCAGAAGCCGTACACTCCCGCCAGTGTCATGAGCCTCTCCGCGTAGATCTTCCAGGTATACCTGCGAAAAGCAAAGCCAAACGAAGCATAGCTTAGCTTCTTGCAGAGAGAGAACAGCGAGAAACTTGAAGCGAGAATGTGTAAATCGCAGCGTACCGTTCATAAATGCGCTCCAGGCCAGCCGCCGAGATGTTGTTCCAGTAGTCCTTGTCTGCGAGACATTTTTCGAAGAAATCGGCCATGATGTTGCTGGCTGTTTCACCATGGTGCGGGTCAATGTGAAAGCCGGACACGCCATTCACAATGATTTCCGCGGGGCCTCCTTTGCAGGTTGCGAAACATGGTAGACCGCAAGTCATTGCCTCCACTACTGTCAGTCCAAAAGCTTCGTAAATCGCAGGCTGCGCAAGTCAAAGGTGATATGAGTCGATCAGGAAAGAAAGCGAAGCAACGCACTGTTCTCATACCTGGACGAAAGCACCGCGAGTATCCGCTATAAGACGGTACAGCTCTCCGTTGCGGACTCGGTTCTTCTGCGCGCAAATCCATCTGAAGTCGCCCTTTAAGTTGTACTCCTCCATGAGCCCGTGCATCTTGTGAATCTCGTCGATTTCCTCCCGGTCTCGCGACTTCGCCGGATCGATGTCTCCAGCAACAACCACCAGGCTCACGAGTTTCCTCAGTCGCGGGTTCTTCGCAAACCACTCCACCAGGCCGGAGATGTTTTTCACTCGGTCCAAACGCGCCATGGAGAAAATGAGAGGCTTTGATCGATCGCTTATCGTTCCCCTGCAGATCAATCGTTAAGTTGGTCGAAGATTAAAAAACGAAAACAAGCACTTACACATGGACTTCGTTCTGTTCAGTACCATAAACAAGTTGCTCAAGTTGCCCATGCAACGAAGTCAGTCGCCGTTCTTTTTCAGTGAATGGAAAGTAGATGGTCATGTCAGCTCCAGGCGAAACAATGTTAAATTTCGGGTCGAACACATCAATTCCGTCGACCACACGATACAGGCCTGGTAGCGTAAACGCGGCATGACTCTCGTACTGCCCCACGCTGTCATCACTGCATGCATAAGCTTTTAGAACGCAGGAGAGAGGGAGAAAAAAAAAAGCTGCACCTTCCAGCAATTTCCTGATAAGTGCTCGTAATGATGAAATCAGCATGGTTCATAGCAATGAGATCGGCTGTGAACTGACAGGAGAAATGATATTTGTCATCAAACTTCCGCCAGTAGATGTCCGAGTCGGGATACTTTGTTTTCTCTAATGCGTGCGCAATGTTACACTGAGAAAAGAACAGAAGATTTAAAATGTAGGAACGAAGGAAAACTAGATGACGAGAGGTAAAGTCACCTGAGTGATGCCAAGCTTGTACGCAAGCAACGAAGCCACGAGATTTCCATCGCTGTAGTTGCCTATAATCAAATCCGGAGGACCCGAAAGTTCGGCGCATATCTCATGTGCAACATCCTGGACAAACAGTACGCCGGTGAGCATACAGACAAACTTCGGTGGAGTTACCTCAGCAAATGTTTCTAAATAAGGCCAGACATCAAAACGTGATACCCATTGTTTGAGTATTCCTTCTTTCGTCCTGAAAGGAATCCTCAAAATACGAGAGTATTCAGTGCCACTGATTTTCTCCACCTTCTGATTGCAAGTGGTTCCTTTTGCTTCGGGAATCAAACGAGTCACCTGACCAAACAAGGTCAGAGATCATGAAAATAGAGTGTAGATCACGTACCACTATGATTTGAGGCTTGATCTCAAGACCCTGGTGCTTAATTCTACTAAGCATTTCTTGCTCCAAAGCACGAACTTGATCCAGAATATAAACAATCTGCAGAAAGACGGTAAATGCTAAAGAGATGACCAAACAGCTTGCATTTCACGTAAACTTGCCTGTCCACCTGTATCCGGCATTCCCAGGACATTTGCTTGGCCAAAGTAGCCATGCGGTGACAGAATCACCACGCTGAAAACCATAGGCACTTTCCCGAGAAACTTCTCGAGCGTGTTAGGATCAGGAGCCTGAAGCGTCTCTAGCAGGAGATGAATCATCTCAAGAACCTCTCTGGCATTGCCTCCCCATCCTTTCTCTAGTCCCAGTTCCTGCAGCCTGAGAGAAGAGAGTTTAAGTGACCAAAAGCCTCCTCAAAGTTAGTGTAAGTTCTAATACCTCAAAGCAAATTCAGCATATGGTGCGTCATCAGGGAGCCGTGTCAGTTGCTCTTCAGCCTTGACAAGTGCTGGTCGAAGCCTGTCCAGAGTTTCGATCCTATCGTTTAGCATGAGAGTCTGATTAAAACAAGAATTCTGTGTCAGCGGAAAAAACAAACAAATATAAAACAAAAAAAACTTACCTCCCCACGATACTTGTGCACTTGTAAGAAGTTAAACAGAGGTTGCATGCTCTCCTGGTCACGAAACAAACGAGACGAGAGATGCCGATTAAGAAACTGTACACCATTGCCAATCGACTTGGGACGTGTTAGCTTTGGGAAATGAGCGTTGAAAGGTTCAAAGTCTAGTTCAAGGACAAACTTGTCATTGCACCTGGTGGAAGTTGAGAAAAATACAAGTAAAAAAAGAACGAGAGAAGAAAAAAAAACTTACACTCCGTTTGTCAGACACTCTTTAAACGCAAGGTATTCAGAAACTGAGAGCTGCTCCACAGTCAGCTCGTCGACGTTTATTCGAACATACTCCCAGACACCAGGCCTGGGTCGCACAGCCAGAGTGACCCAAGGAGGCAAAACCATCGCTTCCTACAAATGAAGTAGCGAAGAACAACTTATCTTAGCAAAGCTCAAGGGAGAAGAGATTGGTTGGACCTGAGTGTAATGCAAAACGCGGCCAAAGATACCATCTTGCAGCTGGAGAAGGAGCTGCGAGTCCTTGACAGCATTTGCAAGCCCATCTTTCAGTTCGTGAGGTTGCAAAAGCCCACTTCCATTCGCTACAAACCTGGAAAAAACACAAGGAAATACGAAGAAAGTTTTGTTCATCATCTGGCCTAGAGAAAGAAAAGAAAGAGTTCTCTTACTTCGATAGCACTGATAGCAGCTGATTCCGATGCTCTTGCAATGAATCCTGGACTCGATCGCGCATACTGGTCACCCGAGTAATCGATCGCTTAGCACTCCCGAGACTCATATCTAATCAGAGGCAATCCAGTCTAAGAAAGGAAACACAAACTACACTAGAAAGAATGAAAGCGGTATACTTGGAAGAAGAAGAAAAGAGGGCAGCGCTCACTCGCTCCAGCTCACACACGAATGCAATGAGAAGCCGTGAGCAAAACAATCGCTGAAACAAACAACGATTAGAGAAGCATCGGCGAAGCTGCAAATCGCTAACCTATACAGCGAAACCGCAACAATGCAAGGCGTCTGGCTGCTGCTGCCGCCACCCCCGATCGATCGCGAGCAATAGCTGGAAGATCAAACCCTAGCGCGCTCCCCCTCCCTCTCCAATGCGTGGAAAAATGCCCAGCTCTGGTTCTTCAAACAACGAGCCAACGATGCATTCCGTACAACAACAGTTCCAATGGGTTAGTACGACATGGCTGCGTGGATGACAAGTGTCTCCAATCAAACACTGCCAAGCCAATGTTATAAAGTTTAGCTTTGCAGATATTAATCTCCATGTACTACTGTCGATATCCACACTGCCAAGCCAATGTTATAAAATCTAGCTTTGCAGATATTAATCACCATGTACTACTGTCGATTTCCTGCGATCTGACGATCAAGATATGGGGCAAATGCACAATCCCTCTCTATTTTTTTTTTACATATCCACGTTACATACACGTAAATGTAGATTAAGTTACAAATCCTGGTTTGATCCAATCCATGCTTTGCATTTTTGCCACATACAAACTCCCGAGCTTGCTTGGATCATGTTAGACTATAGTGACGTCGAATTTGCGTTTCCGCATTCTGCTTCAGCTCTTGCTCTCAAGAGTCCTTTACCTCCCCAACGACGGGACTTGGCCTCTATGAACTGGTGTGCTGTTTGCCTACTCCGGCATCACCAGAGATGTGT